ATAGAAAACTGGCTGGAGAGTAGACAGCAGAGAGTAGTAATAAATGGAGTTAAATCTGTCTGGATAACAGTTACAAGCGGTGTGCCTCAGGGCTCTGGGCAGGGTCCTCTGCTATTTGCGATCTATATTAATGATATTGACTCTGGAATGACTAACAAAATGTTGAAGTTTGCAGATGACATTAAGATATTTGGGGTGGCTAACTGTATCAAAGATGCTGCAGACTTATAGGGAGATTTAGATCATTTGATGCATTGGGCCAATACGTGGCAGATGATGTTTAATTATCCAAAATGTAAGGTCATTCATGTAGGTTTTCACAATTCAAATTATTTTTCAAAACTTAAATGGGAATACATTAAATACTGTGATTGAAGAAAAATATCTTGGTGTTGTGAAGGAAAAATCACTTAAATCATCTAAACAGGGATTTTAGCTAGCAATATGGCTAATAGAGTTTGGGTAGCATCTATAGAAATATTGAATATAAGACAAGGGATATTATTGTTTCACTGTATTGATCACTTGTAAGGCCTCCTTTAGAGTAGTACTGTGTACAGTTTGGGGCTCCCTTCCCCAAGAAGGACATTGAATTGTTGGAGAAGGTTCAGAGAAGAGCCACTAAGCTTATACCTGGGATGGTGGAATCGTCCTATGAGGAGAAACTAAAATCTCTAAACTTGTTTTCTCTGGAGAGGAGAAGTGTCAGAAGAGATATGATTGAGGTGTGTAAGATTATTAAGGGTATAGTTAATATAGATCCATCAAACGTTTTCCATGCTTATTAGTGAAAACAATAGGACGAGGGGTCATGAATTCAAATTTTGGCAGCGTAGGAGTCGTTTGCAGTTTAAATAGTATTACTTTTCAAAGGGGGTGTTTGGCTTTTGGAATGAGCTGCCTTCAAGGGTGGTGGAGGCAGAAATTTTAACTGAGTTTAATGAAAGATTGGATGAATACATAAGTAGTAATGGCTGGTTGTAGTTAGGAATTGGAAGGGACATCCTTTATTGGCTAATAAGCTCTTTCTTGTCCCTTTAAAACTTTTTGAAGACATTTGTGAAATTTACAAATGATAGCCAGTGAAAATATGTTAAAGGAAACTTTTAAAGTGAACACTATTTTTAAAATCATATTATTGGAAAAGTTATGAAGTATAATTCATTTAAAATAAGCTATATTTTCTAAACCTCACCAATTCCGTTGATTTTCCTTTAATTGTCCGAATGTGATGCTATTAATATAATCATATTTTATATATATCCAGAACTAACACAAAATGGATCTTTATTCAGATATATTTATGCAATTTTTTTAAAAAAACGTTATGCAGATGCTATACATTTAGTTATCTATTCTTGATAAACCGCTGGTACAAAGGTAGTACACGTACACTAATCCTCTTACTTAAGTAAAAATTACGTACTGCAGGGTGATTCTAAAGAAACTTTCGCAGTTCATTGCGTTATATCTTACAAATAGTTTGGCATAGGAAAAGGAAATTACATAAGGATGCTAAGAGTATTATTACAATGAGAATGTAACTGTTTTCACGTAGTGTCACCAGGAATGCCAATCTAACTTAATGTATGATCAATCACAGACTGTTAAAAGTGTGCTACTCAAGCGTACAGGATGCATTGCATTCGTGTGATAATGGATATTATACCAATAATGCACATCTTATCTGGTATGCTTGTTATTTCCTGAACAATTATATATTTGAAGTCTGGAACTGTGGAAGAATTACCAATAAATCAAATTCTAATCTCATATAAGCTTTAATTTCTTAATTTTAAAAGTAAATATTTAAATAAATCAGCAATCTCCCCGTGTATGAGAATTGTGACATTTGTTTTCCAGATTTTGACCATTCTCTAATTTATTAACAACTCTTCTTTGAAGCGCAAAGTTTAACATAAATTAATCATTATAATTAAGATATTAATAAGAGAAAGTTTAATTTTCTAAGCCTCCAGTCTTCTTTGTTTAAAGAAACTTAGACCTACTTGCCACGCCCATCTCTCACATTCTCTCTTTCACAAATTGCTTATAATTCTCTCTTACGTTTTATATTGTATCATTTATAACCAATAGAAATACAAAGTTCTAATCTATCAAATGGCTTATATTGTTACGTTGTATTTGGTACAGAGTATTGTCAATTTCATCCTCAGTTTGAAAATTTATCTCGTGGTGTTCGGATCGAGCAGCTAAGAGATTTTAAAACTCTTATGTCTTTGTCAGAGAGCCAGTTAAATTATAATAGTTATAGGACATTGATTTTTTTGTGCATGTTATTATTCTTTGTTCTTGGATGCATTATTTAACGAAATAGAAATTACTTAATATACTAGTATCATTATCACAAAAGTAGGCTTAAATTCCATCGGCAACCGAAAATTAAACAACAACAACAAAAAAAGATGTCGAACATAAGTACTATATTTTATGTTTATATATATATTGTTATAAGCGTAACTAAAATGTAAAAAATAGAAACTTATTAGGTTAGTTAGATAAGTTTTGCATAAGCTTAAATAACTCAATATGTATACACTTGAAACATAGTATACACTGTGTGATGGTCAGGGTGATTTTGCATGAAGAAGTAGCAGGAAAATTTGTGGCGGTAGAGATGCTTTCTGTCACTCGCTTTCAACACCCACCTTTTAATGTCTTTCCACACTGTTTCATGTTATCAAATTAATTGACTGTCATTGGCCACAGAAATGTCTTATGAGATGAAGTTGTAAGGTCACGGGTCAAAGTAGGAAATGGGTATAACTCAAGAAACAGCACTTCATATCAGCGTTATGGCGGCTGTTGTCGTATGAACTTCATCTGAGTTCAAGTATTATTGCAATATTGGCGGCCATTAGTTTCATTGCATTCCTTTGTGTGCCCTACCCCCACACTGTGTGTATGTTGTGCTGTAAAAAATTTAATGTGTGTGTTTTCTTATAGCATATCCACATCGAGCTATTTGCTGTGTCTACCGAAGGAAATCAAACCCCTGATTTTAGCATTGTAAATCCAAAGACTTACCGCTGTCGCACCAGTTGATGGAAAATTTTATATAGTTTTTTGTTTGGTGTCAGAACGCGGCGTTATATATTAATGTAATTAATGTTAACTTACGTCAAATA